TTCGGCCGTGAATAGGAGCAGATCACGCAGTGCCACAGGAAACGCCACCAGAAGTGCTCCCATATTCATTTATGCCGCCGTTCGTGGCTTGTAATTAAAATTCAAAATTAGATTTGACCAGGGTTGTGTGAACTGTTCCGCGGCTTGGCATGGATGCAGAGGCCTGTGGCTGCAGTGCACGCGGTGAGTTCAACTGTCTGACTACTGTATTACGCTGGGCAAACGATGTGAGAAACTGCCATGCTGATGGCCCTGAATGCCACAGAAGTCGTTGGGCAGATGTATATCACAGCCAATGCTGGTGAATCACGATATTTATGCTTCCTGGCCAACTGCTAATTGCTGACTTACATTGGGCCAGGGGAAATTTGTTCAGTTTGTTTGCCTCAACACGAAAGCTTTGCTGAGCCGCCCCGACCAATCGCGTGGCTGTCAGTCGTTTGTGTCCGTCAGATGTTAACTCGTCTGGACGATCAGCTACCTTGGCCCGTAGCCTCAAGCCCGGAGTCTGACCTGGCCCGGGGCCTGGGGCTTGGAGCCTGGCCTGGTCCAGCGTCTCGAGCTCGGAGCATGGCCTGGTCCAGCGTCCCAAGCTCGGAGCCTGGCCTGGTCCGGAGCCTCGAGCCCGGAGCATGGTCTGGTCCGGAGCCTCGAGCCCGGAGCCTGGCCTGGTCCGGAGCCTCGAGCCCGGAGCATGGCCTGGTCCGGAGCCTCGCTGCCGCAGGACGGCGCCGACCCGGCCGCTTGTGGTGAAAAGCAGCACTATTCACGTGGTGACGGAAAGCCGGCAGACTCGGCGGCGCGACTGCCAAAGCCGTCGCGTCGTTCGGTGTTGACATGCCGGCGGGCGGAGCTGGCATGGCGGTATGCGCGGCGTCGGGTCAGCCGCTGGCAACCCGGCGCGCTTTGTTCCGGCCTCTGAGCCGCCGTCGCCGCCGCCGCCGCCGCCGCCGCCGCCGCCGCCAGTCCCGTCGGCGTCACTCAGCGCAGTGTCATAAACACGCCAGGATGTGCGGAATGCGGCATGAAGCTGGGTCGCGTCTCGCGGACGCCTTGTCGGCGTTGCTGTCGGCGCCGTGCCGCGCCGGTGCCGTCGCGACAACAGCGACCCGGCCTGCACCGCAGACACCGTCTCGGCTGGCGAGCGGCGCCGAACGGCCTCGGAGGCGGCCGAGCCACGCGCGGCGGTCCGTCTCAATTTGACCAAGGCTGGAGCGCGTGAGGTCCATTAATGTGCAACAAGTGGGCCGGGGGAGATGGATGGTCTCGGCCGAAAAGCCGGCGGTCGAACGCCGTTATTGCGCGTCAGCGTCGCGGTCTGCTTGGCAACGGAACGACGCCGTCGATCGGCGCTGGAGCGGGCCGCGGCTGGCCGGCCTGCGACCGCGGCGTCGGCGTCGGCGTCGCTGCCGGCCGGCTCGCTCGCAGCCGCGCTCGGCTGGTGGCAGGGCGCGCCACGGACGCGCCGCCGCCCCGACGCCACTGCGCGGGGCGCGCTTCGGGTGGGTCGCGGTGCGCCGCCGTCTGCGGCGCCGAACGGAGCGTGACGGCGCGGCGCAGCAGGCGGGCGGCGGCTCTGCTCAGCGGGCGGGCGGCGGCGGCGCGGCGGTCGTGCCCGACCGCGCGGTGATGTTCGACGGCGCCACAGGCTTAGCTGGGCGGTCCGCGGCGGCCGACTGACAGCCGGCGGGCTGCAGTGTACATGCTCCTCGGACAAGGACGTCCTACCATGACATCACCGTTCGCAGGCCTCACCTACCCTGTAAAGTGGGATCCTGTGAATGGCTAATGTCCTTTGTGACGTGGCGCTTACCCCGATGGGGGTACATAGATATGATACTTTACCTTCATAATACTCAGATATGATTGACGCTAGGTAGCCACCGTCGGAACACCTATCCGATGTTCGATGGCCAGGAGCCTACATAACCCAGTGCTGTCCTCCGTACTCTTGCAACCCTCCTCGTATACACACAGCTCATCCCTGTCCCCAGCCCGGTGCTCGGCCGGCGGCGGGTCTGTCGCCGGTGCCGGGCCGGGTTATCACCGTGCGGGAGCGGCGCCGCGGCGCTCCGCTCCGCGCCGGGCGTGCAGAGCGGGCGGGAATCGTGGGCCGGCGTCTCGGGCGCGCCGCCGCAGCCGGCCGGCCGGGGACCCGCGGCGCCGCGGTCCGCTCCACGCCGCCGCGGCCACCGCACGACGTGTCGCGGCCGGATGAAGTGGGCAACCGGGCGGGGTGTGCGGGTCGTGGCCGCCGCCTGTCGCGAGAGAGAGAGAGGTGGAGAGTGATTTATTGCGCGCTCGGAGTGACAAGGCTATCTTGCGGTTCGGGGTCGCCTGCATAGGCTCCATCTGAAGCCGTGGTGTGGTCGGGTCACTGTCAGCCCACTCGGCGGCGTTTGCAGAGTGTGGCCGTGCGCTGTATACGCGCTCGTCCGTGCGTTGTTAATGAGCGGGACATCACCTGATATGTTATCTCAGACGTCCGTTGCTACCAGTTCCAAAACTCGGCGATCAGGGCCGCGTCATGTCGTTTGTCTCGGCTCGGGAACGGTTTTTCTGTGCTTGCCTTAGATGCACAGTATCGGTCCCGTGCACCTCTGCCTCGAGCGGTGTGCGGCCGAGCACCTGGAGCACTTGCGCCATCACCACGCGAAGTTCAGCACGTCCGCGTCCACGTCCAGGTCCGGCCACGTCCGGCCGCACGCTGCGCGTCAGCCGGCGCTGTCGCGAGCCGTTGTGGGCTGTCATCACCCTGCCAGGCGCCCGGCTCCGCCGGCGCACGCACACACCTGGACGGGCAAGCCCGGCCGCGTCACCGGCCGGGGTGGCGTGAGTTCCTCAGCCGCGTGAGGACCCCTCACCGAGCCAGACGGCCTCTGGCGGCCGCACGCACACGCCTGACGGGCAAGCACCGGCCCGCGTCACCCTCCGGGTGGCGTGAGGTTTCCTCAGCCGCGTGAGGACCCCTCACCGAGCCCAGACGGCCCCTGGCGGTGCACGCACCCGCCTGACGGGCAAGCCCGGCCGCGTCACCGGCCGGGTGGCGTGAGGTTCCTCAGCCGCGTGAGGGACCCCTCACCGCTGCTCTCTCGTCCGTTCGGAGCCAGACGGCCGTGGCGATGCCGGGTGTTCAGGCCACTGCCGTGGCGGCACGGACTCCAGACACGTGGCGTCGGTCCCAGGCCGCCAGGGTCCCTGGCCCTCTCTTTGGGCCTGGGCCGCCCGGATCACCGACCCTCTCCTCTTGGCCCTAGCTGCCTGGCCTTCTCCTGGGGCTCGGGCTGCCGGGATCCCTGACCCTCTCCCCGAGCACTGG